TTTTTTAGCATAAATTGTTGAGTGTCTCTACCTCGAGTATGTTGGTTGGATATTTTAGTAAAAGAGTCTATTACAATATAATAATTTTTGTTCATTTCGAATCATTTTTGCTTCGAATTTATTGAGAACCGAAAAAAATGCAGTTTTCGGGCTCGTTCCAAGTATATGCAAAAGGGTCGAGTGATGTTGTTTCACATCCGTTTTCATATACAGGACAAGGTAATGGAATGTTTTGCCAGTTATTAACGGTGCCATCTTTTAGATTGACAGTTAAGGAAATATTTTGCATATATGATTCGAAAGTATCCAAATGGATCCAAGAACGATCGCTGCATTCGTTGTGGTATTCGCCATCAACTCTGCCTCTATTTGTATTTGTGACGATTTTTTCGTCGAAGCGAAAAGGAATATTTTTTGAGTATCCTAAGTTAACATATCCCCGTTCGGCGGCGTGCTTACAAGTATCAAGGGAAATGTGTATATCAGTTGTGATTTTTTTTTGGCGAGCGTCTATTCCGCTTGAATCGAAAGAATCACAAAACCATCGGATAGATTGGTGTTTTATACGATACATTGTCGCGTTAAATTTTGTACTATAATGCCGTTGGTAAAGAGTAACTTCGGCTGTAGTGGTTTCGATATTTTCAGGTTGTATTTTGCAGAGAGCTACTTTATTGAGTGCGAACATTTTATTCGATGTCATTAGTTGACAATCAAAACATGCAATTTTTAGATCTTCTGCTGTATTAGCTGTATTAGCGTAGAGATTGTCCTCTGGATTAAAAGCGCAGATTTATGGGGGAAATATTAAAATAGTGTATATAGCTAACCAAAAAAGTTTTAGTTCTAGACGGTGGCGGAAAATAGAAATTATACTAACTTTCAGCAAATCATCGATTACTTGGTCAGTTGATTGATCAAGGTCCATTATTTCACCTTCTTCGAGATCGGTGATTTTAGACATTTTTTTTGAAATTTTTTGATTTTTGCAATTGCTGAGAAGTATCAGAGGAAGGTTTTGGAGGTTGAGAAGTTTTTGAAAGAATGAACCTGGGCTTATTTTTGCTAGTTTATGTAGATCAGAGTCTGATAAAATTTGTTTGTTCAAGACAGGTTTTAGCAAAGCCGGCTGTTCAGTTATAATTGAAATACTATACTGTGCCATATTTGTTTTTACTGGCATGTGTCTACGGCCGTTGGGAGAGGTTTTATTTTCAATTTAAGACGATGCTTGAAACGATGCTTGAATCGATCTCTACCGTCAGTGAATCTTTTTAGGAAAAAATTTTTTAATTCAGGCCAAGTAGTAATATTAGTTACTTCATCGGTATACCATTCAAGAGCTGTTTCTGTTAATAGAGATCCAAACAAACTTTTTTGTCTGTGATCATAGTTAGGCTGAGCGCCAGCGTCTGTGGGTCGTTGCCCTAGTGAGAATACAATTTTATTCTCAACTGAAGTCCAAAATGCTTTTGCGTTTAGGTCTGAATTATTTCCTGAGAATGATACAAAAGACAAGTTAGGATGGGTGATTGGGTGATCGGCCATCTTACTTTTTTCAAGTTAAGATATCCAAATTAAAATTTTGAAATTTTGAAATTTGATAATTTCAACTTTATGAAAGTTTAAAAATTTGAAATTTTGATTATTTCAACTTTTGAATTTTTGATAATTTCAATTTTGTGGAATTTGATAGTTTCAATTTTGTAAAATTTGATAATTTCAACTTTTGAAATTTTCAACTTTTTGAAATTTTGATAATTTCAATTTTTGAAATTTTCAACTTTTTGAAATTTTTTAATTTCAATTTTTGAACATTTCAACTTTTTGAAATTTGGATGATTTGAGTGAATTTGAGTGAATTTTGAGTGAATTTCAGTGAAATTTGAGTGAATTTTTGAAACTTGTGTGCCTCATTGGTCGCACCAAATATTCCAATTAACTTGATATAACTTATTGCGATCGACCAAATCGCAGCTAGTTAGAACAAGGGGTCTTTCTGAATGTTGCTAAGACTTTCCTATTCTTATTCAACAGACAAAGTTTCTTTCACTCGTAAATAGGTATATTATTTCAAATATAGAGAACACACATCAATTTTATATCAAGAGACATTGGGGTATGGATTGATAGTTATCGAGATAGAGACTTGAGATTTCGGTTATTAGGATGGTTGGGGGTCTCAGTATGAGAGTGGTTGTGAGATTTGGGATTTTGAGAAAGTGTTAAAGTGATATTTGGTATATTTTCGCTTGCCTTATATACCATAGATTTTGATATTTTCAACATTCCATCTGTTGGTTAAACCAATCAGAAAGAAACAACACATGCTGTAATGTTTGCTTTTGGTGATGTTTTATCAATCGAGCAAACGCATAATTTCAAGTCAGAACATATGGTAAAAGTTTAAGAGTTATGTTTCTGATTTCAAGTCAGAACATGTGGTAAAATTTTAATAATTGTGTTTCTGATTTCGGTGAGCGTCTATTTGTCCTTTTGTCTATCCTTTTGTACTTTGTATGGCGTGTGGGGGGATGATTTTCATTAAAAAAATTTCAAATTTTGGAAAAAAAAAATTTTCATTTTATTTTTTCTTATATTTAATTTTTTTAATGTTATTACTGCTCCATAAACCTTAAAAGGCAGTCGGAACATTCAGGGCTTCGCCTTGATACGAGCAGTCTTGTTCAAGCTTTTAGGACTGGCATTCTAGATTACCCACACAGGGACATATCACCGTATCGCTGGCTAACCTTGAAAAATGAAATTCCAGTCTTTTTACTGATCGGCTAGCGGCAATTCTCGAATCCGAGTTTCGAAATTTTTGAAAAATTAAACGTTTCCTTCGAACAAGTTATTGATTTCTAAGCCTTCAATATCTTCGACTCGAGAGCCTGTTGATGATATTGTTGACACCATGTCAACTCGTGGGCAGTGCAAGTAATCATGCAAAACCGTCTCCCGTTCGGAGTGCATTTATCTCGTGTTGATGCTTATAGCACAATCTGTTGTACTGGCTGCTATCAATACCCCGCCACAAAAGCTTTCGTAGCAAAGATGTCAAAATAACAGATCTGTTTGAACTTAATTTTGCCGAAGAAACAATATTTTGACTTTCAGTTAGAAGCTCACGTCAAAAAGTCGGATTGTGACCTGTTCTTTGATTTTGAGCGTAATTAATTTTTTCGTTTCACAGATCGTATCAAGCGCGTGTCGCAAGTGTCGCAAACATGTTTCAACACTAAGTTACCTGGAAACTTGGATGGCCGTCATCTATTGATATTGTAGTTCTTTCGTCAACTGCACGTTGAGCTGCTGAAGCATTGATCATTTACATTCCCTGAGTCAATTGCAGTTCGCTGTAAATCCGGTATTGTCAGTTCTCCAAGTTGACCGTTTCGGGTTTGCGCATACATTCTTTGGTTGGCGCATGCAAGTTTTTGGTGCGAACTATTTTGTTCAAAATCATGTAACCATCAGGCGCAGCTCATCAGGCAAAGCTCTAATAAATCTGGTTAGTCCTGATTGGCTGCCCTACCACCCGCACCTTCCATATTGAAATCGTTCACTCCTTGAATACAAGCTTTCGTATGGTGGGCAACGAGCTGTTCTTCACGAACTGCGTTATACCGTCTTTTTTGGTCCGGGATGACTTTTGTGAGCCAGGAAAAATTTCTTCTCAAATGCTTCCACAAAAGGAGAAAGTATCTACCGGCCCTCTGGCTACATGAAGAAATAAAGTGAAACTTTAATCCACCACGAGTCCAAGATCCTGGTGAAAATTTGGGAAACAACTTCGCTGGTGTGGGCGAATCTTCAATGCGATAGTAGGTTGCCGTAAACTGGCCGAAAAATGTCTCGATCAAATTTTTTGCTTAACTGGAAACTTCTGCGAGTTTGCCGCCTTATACTTCAGGTGAGCTCAGACACTACCGATCTAGAATTGGTCACGTCCAATCATTTTCTTTTTCGTCAGCATTGCGCAAGTTTTCCGCCTCTGTTAGCTGACGATTTTTTTGGCCATCAGAAAGGGTACATGGACTGAGGAAGTAAGTTCCTTCATTCAAAATCAACCATAAGTGGGGATCTCCACCTGAGCATGAGTTCAGGACTGGTAGTCTTGTGTGGTTAGTTGAACCGGTTAGCACAATAGGTTTCGAACCCCCTGCTCGTGTCGTTCCGTTCGATCACGGCAAAGATCGATAAGCTCGATCCGATAGTTCTCTCTTTCGGTCGAGGGTTAAGCGAATGAAATTAACGTATAGAAAATTATAGTATCACTTGAACCTTTTATAAAATGTCGCTCAAATAAAATTCTATTGCGGTGCTGTTGCGGTGCTCAACCAGAAATCAAAATCAATTCCTCGGGATGGGTCCGAACCCCGCCATGTTTATTGCTTATATAGTGTTTTTTTATACTGAAATGCTGAATCGTGGCTGGATCAACATTCACAGGCGTTTTTTTTGTTTTTTTTTCCATCCTAAAACTTTACGTAACCTTGGCCAACTTTGAACGCTAAGTTATTTTCAAGACTTTAAATTACTTGTGAGATCCATGGTATGATTTTTCTGTCGTACTTTTCAAGTTGTTGAATCTTCTAACTGAGCCATATCTTTGATTGAACCTTCGAAAACTGTATTTTTTCACGACCAACAACTGGAGTTTTTCATATTAAAAAAGTCATAATAAATATGGGAATTTTTTTCAGCTATTTTTCTACAGAAACTATCATTAGACACGATGTGGTCAAGAAGTTATCTAAATCGGGTCTAATTCAAATTTTGACATAAAATCAAAAAGGAAAATTAATTTTAGGTTTTGGTTCTACGGTAAAAACTCTCGAAATCCTAGAGTAAACTACCCAATCAGGCTTTCTCTTCAAATATTTGACGTTGAGGTAATATAATAAGAAGAATCAATCTGTCTTTTGGTGATTTAAAAAAATTCTACGTGGACTACCTCGACACCGGTGATTCTAATAAAACTCTAACGTTCTTACTTTAAATTGCGACATTCTGCTCCCTGTTTTGTTTTGGGATCTGTCAAAATGAACTCGACAGAATCGTAAGGCAAGGCGTCGTTAATTATGAAGGCTGAAACAAAGTAACGTTGAGCGCCATACAGAAGTTTTAATTTTAATCCTTCCACTAGGTGGGGCAGTTTTAGCAATCCAAAATTTTTCAGAGCAATTTTTTTTAATGTGTAAACTTTCCTTGCTGAAATAAATGGTTAGATTATTCTAACAGTAAACATATAAAAAAGATCTGACGTATCAGCTGATTTTGGATTAAGGCACCTAAGCGATGTGCTTCACTTTGAAAAACTAACTTCCGAGTCAATTGAACATCCCTTCATTTCGTGGGGTAACATGCTGCTCCAGCCGTCCAAAAACTTTTTTTTCATCAAACTCAATTTCTAAAATTTTTCCTGTTAGTGTGATAATGTGAGTCGGGATACACTCAACTAACCAGGCTAAAGGCAAACTCATTACAAAATGATTTGTTTTTATTTATCGAGAAAACATAAGAACCTGATAAAGGAAAAATCCAACTTTTTCGCAAATGCTTTCAGCTCCCATTTTGTTCAAAATACTTTTGAAAAACTTTAAAAAAAGAATGTGTGCTTGAAAAAAATTTTATACACAGAAAACCCGATTGGGCCCATATCTGCAATTACATAAGTTTTATTAAAGTTGAGTTTGAAAAAAAATGATGAGTTCATTCAACTTAGGCAGTAGATAAAAATCAACGTGACCTTTTTTCAACGTGAACGCTTTTTGGATTGTTTTTTTCTTTCATGTCGTTAATGAGTAAGAGCTCCTCGAAAAAAAAACGTTCAGTCAGGTGACCTGCAAAACCCTACCAGACAACCTAAGATTACAGCTAGCTCAAACTCTTTGGCAACTTTGAAAAAAAAACATTGAGAAAACCGGCAAACATGCCTCAAAGTATCCCAAAAAATAGGTTTTTGTTTTGTTGTTTATTCATAAAAAGACAACCGTGGGAAATTCCGATTTAAAAAAAAAACAGAACGGTTTCTATTAATCAAATATAACTCACGGTAAACAAGGAAAAGGAAAAGCAGGTTTGGTCGAATAAACTGCATTATACTTGAAAAATTGCTTTTCGAATTCGAATTTTGCACATTTCAACCTCGGGAGAATAAGCAAGCAAATTTCAAGAAACTCAGGTGATTGTCAAACGAAATTTAAATAAACATCTAAAAGATGTTATATCTTGCTAAGCGGTTCTCTGACAAAAACAAATAAATGGTTTAATAGCATGAACAAAACTGAATTGCTGATTAAGCAAACTTATACCGGTATCGAGCTCTCATTGATAATAATATCTGAGAACTTGCAAACTTAGTCTTTAAATGGATTAAATTTTTTTAAGGTTTAGTTAAAAATGGTCATAAATTCTCTGTATTTTTGTTGCGACTTTCGATACGAATGTAACGGAATATTTGTGCTCGGGGTGGGTTTTTTTTTCAGACAAATTTCGATTTTTTAACTAGCCATTTTTGACGGAAGTTTTCTATATCATTCGAAAGTTATTGTTGTCTTGAGCTCAAACTTGAAAAGATATTTCACCTGTGATCCTTTTTCGTAAAGTTACAGGGGTTTAAAGATTACCATTTTGGCCAATTTGGTACAATTAACGCGCGATATATTTCGCGCTATTGGAACCTGATCTTGATCTAAACTATGTTTTATGATTGGATAAATTGGATATTTTACCACTGTAAAGTATTTAATATTAACCAATCATGATCTATCTAACTAACAACCCACTTATTTGTAAGTGCTGAAATTACTTGTAATTTCAGCTCCAGAGAGATTTGAAATTAACTTAGAAATTAGTTGTCTCTCCAAGAGAAATTCAGCAGCCGCAACAAACCAGTATACCCTAGATCTATTGAGCCTAGCAGAGACTAGTTAAACACCCTGAGACTAGAAAGTATAAGAGTAAGATTAGGATTGGTATTAGACTAAGAAGTTGCACGAATCTATCCGGCCGAAAAAAAGATAGCGTGATGAGCAGACGGTGTACCCTATCCGAAATTATTCTATGAGTTAACCACATCGGTTATAACTCATCTGGTGCGACCCTTTCGATCATCTTGAGCCTTCATTATTCAAAATAACATGCTCACAAAACACGCAACAATTTAGTTCAAACTCAGACAATAGGCTTCATTCAATCCGTCACCTTCTATAACTAAAACGCCAACCTATTAGACGAAAGATATTAAACTCCAGGCATATCTATAACTATAACTTTACAACCTCCAGGTCAAAAATAAGCAAACCACTCAAACTTGACAACTAAAATAAAAACCACCATAATATCATAACCCTCCCCTATCTAATAACGCAAAGATCAACAATATTTTCCCAACTTAGACCTCGAAACCCTCCAACCAAAAATGGTATGTTAGCCTAAAGTAAAAATACGACCATATTCATTTGGCCTAAAGTACAAATATCTCAAAAAAACCCAGATCACCCAACAAATAAAAATAAACCAAAGATGACCTTTCGAACACCATAAAATTAGCCCCCAACAACTGTTCACAAAACTCAACCCATTTGTCAAAAAACCAATAAATAACTCGACCACACTTGAATATTGTCTCAAACAACAAAAAATATTCGACCAAGAGATCATTTCTTAAATGCTCTTCTCTCGATCAGTTAATCTCTTTGAAAATACAATTTTCAACATTTTCATAAACTTTTTCACAATACTTAAACTTTTATTCATTTTTCTATTTGATACTTTTGAAGCTTATATAATAATTTTAATCATTTTTGCAACATTTTTTTAAATTTTCTACTCCCTATTTGATTTATATCTCCAACTTTCCCAAATCATTGACCATATTCACAGGTACGATAACCCAAATTTTATTTAAATGATACGAACAATTTTTAATAGAACAAATATTTTTTTTTACTATTTGTAATTTTTATAACATTTTTATCATCCCTAAAATTGACAATGTGCAAATGTATAAAAAAGGCAATAATAACATTCGCCTTAGCAACAATCCTTTTAATTCTTTTCCTTGGAGAATACTACAGTAAACATAAATTTTTTCACTAGAAAAAACAAATGAAAATACTTTCAAAAAATGCTAACCAACAACCACAAAATCAGTCTTTACCGACATCTCATCAACAATACCTACAACTACCTAAAATCCCCAAACATCCACACGAATTTCTTTCCAAGATAACCCATACACTTTTGAAGAACGACACGCTCGCTTATCTGAACCATTAGAACCAGTTCAGCGACAGGCAACCCTAAGTGAACCAACATATAATTTATACCCAACATTACCACAAAAATTAAGTAGAGTAAGAAACATTAGTAAAAACTAAAATACAGTTGAAATAAATAGTCAAATTATACATCCACGACGAAATAGAAATTTTCAAACCCCCCGAGTCCATTTTGATATACCCCAATCCCCATCACCAAACACTCCAGAAAACCCAAATAGCATATTACCGGAAACCCCTACACTTCTTTCACAACGTAGCACCTCAAGTCTACCCTCAGATTACTTAGGTTCAACACCAACATCTGAACAAACACGTGACAATCCCTTTAACCCCCCCAAACAAACATCACGATTACCATATTGCGCAACACACTCATTCACACAAGGTGAACCAAATTTAGTAAATGACCCAATAGATATTTCTACGGATACAACATTATCATCACTACCAGAAACATTATCACTACCATCAACACCATCAATAAGCCAGATTTCAAAGACGCCCTTACCCCTAAATTTTCCAAATAACCTCGACGCTAGATATCGAGAACAATCATCAACAAATATCCCTTTAAGATTAAATTGGAACACGTTCACAGCACCCCCACCATTATTTGGACAACATCAAGAAAGTAACTGACTGCACAATTGGGCACTTAATAGACTACAATACACAATATAGACAAGACATCCAAGAAGACATTCGTGACCATAACATCCAAATACTCCAACAAAATAGTCTACAATTAAAATTCGAAATCACGATTAAACTTAACAACATTGTTCAACATCCTTACCCATTAAACCCACCCAATATAACAGCTCAATCGCTACCACCACCATTTATAACAACTGAAGTAATATATAAGTACGACAGATATACCAAAAAGACAATTGGTTACATCACATTTTATAACCCATACTCAGGATTATCATACACATGTATATTCTAAAAATATTAACTTTTCAACAAATCCTTTTTCTAATATTTTCCGAACAGAACACAAATCCTTCTCCTCGTACAGGACCCCAGGATTTATTAGTAACACACTACGCTTGTGAAGAAAATGAACAAAAAACACTACACAAATATGCAATAAATCAAGTATCACAATGCGAAACAGAACCACAAGCTATAGAAACTACAAATGTAATAGCGACACTATATTCAAAAGCCCGAGCAACAACAGTCGCAGGATATAAGTTTACAGCAACATTTTCTGAAAAGAAAGTACATTGTTCACAAGTTTCAAACGGAAATAAAAACAGACTTGACCACGAATCATTCTATCAAAGTAATATAGAACAACTTCTACATCTAAATCCCGATGATTGTAAAAACGAGCTACTCAGACTGAATATTACAAGAAATAAAAACACCGATAGAAAACTAGTATATTTTCAAGTCTTTGCCGATTCTGTACATCAAGCAGAGCTTGAAAGATATCAAGGACATATAAAACTAGATGAAAAATACCCATACAACGGCGCACACGGAAGATTAACTTATGATATACACGATAAGCACTGGATACCACACATTGGAATAAATAATCCATCAAACTGCAAAGCAGACACAAAAAATAAAGGATATCAAGAAATAATGTTTTTCGATTGGAAAATACAACTCGAAAAAATACAACTCACACGAGATTTAACCGACAACACAATGATATATCAAGGAATTAGATTACCTTGTAAAAACGATCAAGGTGATTGTGATCCTACAACACGGACACAAGCAACAATTGTTTGGTTTCCCGAAGATACATGCACAACATTTCAAGTAGCAAAAAAAAAACGCTCGAATGATAAAATTTCACGAAAAATATTTTATAGAATCAATTCCATCTGAACAAGTCCATCCATCACGAAAACAAAGTAATGATTTCCGAAATATCCATAATATAGAAAATAAATTAACACGTTTCCAAATATATCAAGAAACAGAAATCGCATGCAAATACAGGAACCCACTTTACAAAACACAATATTCTGAAATACTAGTTGAATACGACAAAGGTTTCGACATGACCACTGGAAAAAAAAATTTGACCCCTATGCCACAAGTCAACCTCTAAACGAAGAAACATCATATGTACCAGTTAACTTTGAAAAAGCACAGGTCAACCTGGTGGAAAACTAAAGCCACATGACACTAGAAGTACACGTTTACAAGAACTATCACTAATGAATAACACATTAATTTTGGTAATATCCACTATGATATCCACTTAGATATGAAATTAGACTACACGATTAGTCGGATTTTTCAAGAAATGTCACTCTCCGAATTAGAAACACTTCACCAACTATGCGAATTGGAAAGGACACAAATCCTACAATCACTCGCACTAGCAGTATTCAAAATACCCTTCGCAGGATATTTATTGTCAGGAAATAGATCAAAAGTCCTAGACTACGAAGGAAACATTTTATGGTTTTATACTTGTACCAAAAGAGTATCACCACTTTATGTTTTTGAAGATAAACGCTGCTATAAAAGAATCCTTATCTTCTACAAAAATAAAGTACATTTTGTTGACACACTTTCAAGACGAACATATTTTCGGGATACCGCAGTCCCATGTGGATCAGAAAATAGCCACAATGTAGTACAATTGAATCCTGACGAAGATAAATATTATCTTCTTACTCCATATCCTACGTTAATGCAATCACTCAAAAAATTTTTACCCAAAAGCATCAGAGCTATTGCTCGAAATCCAAATATTGATTTACAATCAATTGGAATATAATCAAAATCAGATATCCAACACCACAATAGAACACAACAATTCCAAGAATTATTAACACAAATGGACACTATACAAAGACAGTCAATTGACCAGAATTTACGAAAACTTGCCGAAACCGCAGGATTTGCAGATATTTGTACACAAGATTATAGC